AATTGGGGAAAAATTGGGGGAAAAATGGGGAAATGGGGAAAAAAGGAAAATTTTGGGAAAATTGGGGGAGAAATGGGAAAAATGGGGGGAAATTAGGGAAATGGGGGAAAATGGGGAAAATGAAGGAAAATTGGAAAAAATTGGGGTAAAAGCAGGAAAATGGGGGGGACATGGGGGAAAATGGGAAAAATGGGGGAAAATTGGGGGAAATTGGGAAAAAAGGGGGGAAAACTGAAAAAATGGGGGGAAATGGGGGAAAGTGGGGAAAATGGGAAAAATTGGGAAAAAATTGGGGAAAAATGGGGAAATGGGGAAAAAAGGAAAATTTTGGGAAAATTGGGGGGAAATGGGAAAAATGGGGGGAAATGAAGGGAAATGGGAAAAAAAAATTGGGGTAAAAGCAGAAAAATTGGGGGGACATGTGGGGAAAATGGGAAAATGGGGGGAAATGGGGGAAATGGGGAAAAATGGGGGAAAATCAGGAAAATCTGGAAAAAAGGGGGAAATTGGGGGAAAATGGGGAAAATTGGGAAAAAAGGGGGGAAAATTGGCAAATATGGGGAAAACGGGAAAAATGGGGGTAAATGGGGGAAAATGGCAAAAATTGGGAAAAAAGTGGGAAAAAATGGAGAAAAAATGGGTGGAAATGGAAAATTTTTGGGAAAATGGGGGGGAAATGGGAAAAATGGGGAAAATGAGGGAAAATGGGGGAAAATGGGAAAAATTGGGGTAAAAGCAGAAAAATGGGGGGACATGTGGGGAAAATGGGAAAAATGGGGGGAAATGGGGAAAATCAGGAAAATTGAGAAAAAAGGGGGAAAAAAGGGGGAAAATTGGGGAAATTGGGAAAAATGGGGGGAAATGGGGGAAAGTGGGGAAAATGGGAAAAATTGGGAAAAAAGGGAGGAAAAATGGGGGGAAAATGGAAAAGTTTTTGGGAAAATGGGGGGAAATGGGAAAAATGTGGGAAAATGGGGAAAATGAAGGAAAATGGGAAAAAATTGGGGTAAAAGCAGGAAAATGGGGGGACATGTGGGGAAAATGGGAGAAATGGGGGGAAATAGGGAAAAATTGGGGTAAAAGCAGAAAAATTGAGAAAAAAGGGGGAAAATTGGGGGAAATTGGGAAAACTGGGAGAAAATGGAAAAAATGGGGGAAATGGGGAAACAAGTGGGGAAAATGGGAAAAATTGGGAAAAAAGTGGGGAAAAATGGGGAAAAAATTGGGGGAAATGGAAAATTTTTGGAAAAAAGTGGGAAAATGGGGGAAATGAATGAAAATTGGAAAATTTTGGTAAAATTGCAGGAAAATTGGGGAAATTGGGGGAAAATTGGGGGAAAATTGGGAAAAATGGGGGGAAAATGGAAAATTTTTGGGAAAATGGGGGGAGAAATGGGAAAATTGGGGGAAAATGGGGAAAATGGAGAAATGGGGGGAAATGGGGGAAAATGGGAAAAATTGGGAAAAAAGTGAGGAAAAAGTGAGGAAAAATGGGGAAATGGGGGAAAATGGAAAATTCTTGGACAAAAGTGGGGGAAATGGGGGAAATGGGAAAAGTGAGGGAAAATGAGGGAAAATGGGGGAAAATTGGGGTAAAAGCAGGAAATTGGGGGGGACATGTGGGGAAAATGGGAAAAATTGGGGGAAATTGGGGAAATTGGGAAAAATGGGGGAAAATGGGAAAAATTGGGAAGAAAGTGGGAAAAATGGGGGAAAGTGGAAAAGTTTTGGGAAAATGGGGGAAAATGGGGAAAAATGGGGAAAAAAGGGGGAAAATTGGGGGAAAGTTGGGGAAATTGGGAAAAATGGGGGGAAATGGGGGAAAGTGGGGAAAATGGGAAAAATTGGGAAAAAATTGGGGAAAAATGGGGAAATGGGGAAAAAAGGAAAATTTTGGGGAAAATTGGGGGGGGAAATGGGAAAAATGGGGGGAAATGGGGGAAATGGGGGAAATGGGGGAAATCAGGGAAAAGGGAGAAAATTGGGGCAAAAATGGGGGGAAATTGGGAAAAATGGGGGAAATGGAAAAAATGGAGGGAAATGGGGGAAAGTGGGGAAAATGGGAAAAAATGGGAAAAAAGTGGGGAAAAATGGAGAAAAAATGGGTGGAAATGGAAAATTTTTGGGAAAATGGGGAGAAATGGAAAATTGGGGGAAAATGGGGAAAATGGAGGGACATGTGGGGAAAATGGGAAAAATGGGGGAAAATTGGGGGAAAATTGGGGAAAATTGCAGGAAAATTGGGGGAAATTGGGGGAAAATTGGGAAAAATGGGGGAAATAGAAAAAATGGGAGAAAATGGAAAAAACTGGGAAAAAAGTGGGGAAAATTGGGGAGAAATGGGGAAAAAATGGAAAATTTTTGGAAAAATGGGGGGGAAATGGGAAAAATGGGGGGGAAATGGGGAAAAATGGGGAAAATCAGGAAAAATTGGGAAAAAATGGGGAAAATTGGGGGAAAATTGGGGGAAAATTGGGGGAAAATGGGGGGAAATGGAAAAAATGGGGGGAAATGGGGAAAATCAGGAAAAAAGGGGGAAAATTGGGGGAAATTGGGAAAAATGGGGGAAATGGAAAAAATGGGGGGAAATGGGGGAAAGTGGGGAAAATTGGAAAAATTAGGAAAAAAGTGGGAAAAAATGGGGGAGAAATGGGGAAAAATGTAAAATTTTTGGAAAAATGGGAAAATGGGGGAAATGAAGGAAAATTGGAAAAATTGGGGAAAATTGCGGGAAAATTGGGGGAAATTGGGGAAAATTGGGGGAAAATCGGGAAAAATGGGGGAAAATGGAAAATTTTTGGGAAAATGGGGGAGAAATGGGAAAATTGGGGGGAAAATGGGGGAAATGGGGAAAAATGGGGAAAATTGGGGGAAAATCAGGAAAAAAGGGGGAAAATTGGGGAAAAATGGGGAAAAAATGGAAAATTTTTGGAAAAATGGGGGGAAATGGAAAATTTTGGAAAAATGAGGGAAAATGGGGGAAAATGAAGGGAAATGGGCAAAAATTCCAAAGCAAATCCAACATTTCAAGGGAGAAAATCTTGGATGGTGCCGGGAACCCGGGCGAGGGTTGGAGCCCAACGGCGCCGTTCCCATGCACGGAATTCCGGGAATTGTGGGAATTGTGGGAATTCTGGGAATTGTGGGGATTGTGGGAATTGTGGGAATTCCGGGGATTCTGGGAGTTGTGGGAATTGTGGGAATTGCGGGGATTGTGGGAATTGTGGGAAAATTGTGGGAATTGCGGGGATTCCGGAAATTGTGGGAATTGTGGGAATTGTGGGGATCCTGGGGAATTCCAGGAATTCTGGGAATTTTGGGAATTCCAGGAATTCCGGGAATCGTGGGGATTGCGGGAATTGTGGGAATTGTGGGAATTCCGGGAATTGTGGGAATTGTGGGAAAATTGTGGGAATTCCGGGAATTGTGGGAATTGTGGGAATTCTGGGAATTGTGGGAATTGTGGGGATTGTGGGAATTGTGGAATTGTGGGGATTGTGGGAGTTGTAGGAATTCTGGGAATTCCGGGAATTGTGGGGATTATGGGAATTCCGGGAATTGTGGGAGTTGTGGGAATTCCGGGAATTGTGGGGATTCCAGGAATTGTGGGGATTCTGGAATTGTGGGGATTGTGGGAATTCTGGGAATTGTGGGAAAATTGTGGGAAAATTGTGGGAATTGTGGGAATTCTGGGGATTGTGGCAATTCGGGAATTGCGGGAATTGTGGGAGTTGTGGGAATTGTGGGAACTGTGGGAATTGTGGGAATTCCAGGGATTGCGGGGAATTGTGGGAATTGTGGGGATTGTGGGGATTGTGGGGATTGTGGGGAAATTGTGGGAATTGTGGGAATTGTGCGAATTCCGGGGATTGTGGGAATTGCGGAAATTCTGGGAATTCTGGGAGTTGTGGGAATTCCGGGAATTCTGGGAATTGTGGGAATTGTGGGGATTGTGGGGATTGTGGGGATTGTGGGAATTGTGGGGATTCTGGGAATTCCGGGAATTCCGGGGATTGTGGGAATTCCAGGAATTGTGGGAATTGTGGGGATTCTGGGAGTTGTGGGAATTGTGGGAATTGTGGGAAAATTGTGGGAATTCTGGGAATTGTGGGGATTGTGGGAATTCCGGGAGTTGTGGGAGTTGTGGGAATTGTGGGAATTGTGGGAATTGTGGGAATTGTGGGAATTCCGGGAATTGAGAGAATTGTGGGAAAATTGTGGGAAAATTGTGGGAATTGTGGGAATTCCGGGAATTGTGGGAATTGTGCGAATTGTGGGAGTTGTGGGGATTGTGGGAATTGTGGGAATTCTGGGAGTTGTGGGAATTCCGGGAATTCCGGGAATTGTGGGAATTGTGGGGATTGTGGGAATTGTGGGGATTGTGGGAATTGTGGGAATTGTGGGAATTCCGGGAATTGTGGGAATTGCGGGGATTCTGGGAATTGTGGGAATTCCGGGAATTGTGGGAATTGTGGGAATTGTGGGAGTTGTGGGGATTGTGGGAATTCTGGGAGTTGTGGGAATTCCGGGAATTCTAGGAATTCTGGGGATTGTGGGAATTGCGGGAATTGTGGGAATTGTGGGGATTGTGGGAATTCCAGGAGTTGTGGGAATTGTGGGAGTTGTGGGGATTGTGGGAATCCTGGGAATTCCAGGAATTGTGGAAATTGTGGGAATTCTGGGAATTGTGGGGATTGTGGGAATCCTGGGAAAATTCTGGGAATTGTGGGGATCCTGGGAATTCCGGGAATTGTGGGAATTGCGGGAATTGTGGGAATTGCGGGGGAATTGTGGGAATTGTGGGAATTCCGGGAATTGTGGGAGTTGTGGGAATGGTGGGAATTCTGGGAGTTGTGGGAATTGTGAGAATTGTGGGAATTGTGGGAAAATTGTGGGAAAATTGTGAGAATTGTGGGAAAATTCTGGGAATTGTGGGAATTTTGGGAATCCTGGGAATTCCAGGAATTCTGGGAATTCTGGGAATTCTGGGAATTCCGTACCTGAGGGGGCTCTGGTGGCCGTGCTGGGCTGCAGGGGCGTCACCCCGGCCACTCCGGACACTCCGGACACTCCGGCCACTCCGGACACCCCGGACACCCCGGACACTCCGGACACTCCGGACACTCCGGACACTCCGGCCACTCCGGACACTCCGGACACTCCGGACACTCCGGACACCCCGGACACCCCGGCCACTCCGGATTCGCTCCTGTCGGGGCCGCAGATCCCGGGAATCGGCGCCGATTTTTCCAGGGAAGGGAGGAGCTGATCCAGCTGCTCCAGCTCGGCCGAGAACTGCGGGAAAAGGGAAAAAATCTGGGATCGGGTGGGGAAAAATCTGGGAATAAAATGGGGAAAGTTCGGGGTTGGGGAGGGGAAAAGTCTGGGAGAGGGAAGGAGAAATTCTGGGATTGGATGGGGAAAATTCTGGAATAAACTGGGAAAATTCTGGAATGAGGTGAGAAAAAATCTGGGATGAGGTGGGAAAAATCCCAAAAAAAACCTGGGAAAAATTCTGGGATCAGGTGGGAAAATCCCAGAAAAAAAAAATTGGGAAAATTTGTGGGATGATGTGGGAAAAAATTTGGGAGAAGGCAGAAAAAATTCTGGGATTAGCTGGGAAAAATTCTGGGATTAGATGGGAAAAATCCTGGAATAAACTGGGAAAATTCTGGAATCAGGCAGGAAAAATTTTGGAATCAGGTGGGAAAAACTCTGGAATAAACTGGGAAAAATTCTGGGATTAGCTGAGAAGAATCTTGGGATCAGGTGAAAAAAAAATCTGGGATAAGGTGGGAAAAAATCTGGGTTAGGATGGGAAAAATCCCCAAAAAAAAACTGGGAAAAATTCTGGGATCAGGTGGGAAAAAAATCTGGGAGAAGGCAGGAAAAATTCTGGGATTAGATGGGGAAAATCCTGGAATAAACTGGGAAAATTCTGGGATCAGGCAGGAAAAATCTTGGGATCAGGTGGGGAAAAATCTGGGATAAGGTGGGAAAAATCCAGAAAAAAAAGGGAAAATTTGTGGGATGATGTGGGAAAAAAATCTGGGAGAAGGCAGAAAAAATTCTGGGATTAGCTGGGAAAAATTCTGGAATAAACTGGGAAAATTCTGGGATCAGGTGGGAAAAAAATTGGGATCAGGTGAGAAAAATTCTGGGATAAGATGGGAAAAATCTCAGAAAAAAATGGGAAAATTTGTGGGATCAGGTGGGAAAAAAACTGGGAGAAGGCGGAAAAAATTCTGGGATTAGATGGGGAAAAATCTTGGGATCAGATGGGAAAAATCCAGGAAAATTCTGGAATAAGGTGAGAAAAAATCTGGGATAAGGTGGGAAAAATCCCAAAAAAAAAACTGGGAAAAATTCTGGATCAGGTGGGAAAAATTCTGGGAGAAGGTAGAAAAAATCTAGGATTAGCTGGGAAAAATTCTGGAATAAACTGGGAAAATTCTGGGATCAGGCAGGAAAAAATCTTGGGATCAGGTGGGAAAAATCTTGGGATGAGGTTTGGGAACAAACTGGGAAAAATTCTGGGATTGGGTGAGAAAAATTCTGGGATAAGGCAGGAAAAATCTTGAGATTCCATGGGAATGGGAAACAAAAGCCTGGAAAATTCCCAGAAAATCTTTGGGAATGCCCAAGGAAATCTTGGAGCACCTCAAGATCTTGGGATTGGGAATTATGGGATCAGAGCAGGATGGGACTGAATCTCCACCAATCCCACCCGAACCATTCCAGAACTTTGGCATTCAATGGGAATGGGAACCAAAATCCTGCAGAATTCCTAGAAAATCTTTGGGAATGCCCAAGGAAATCTTGGAATTATGAGACTGGAATTGGATGGGATCAAAGCTCCATAAATCCCACCCGAACCATTCTGGAACTTTGGCATTCAATGGGAAGCCAAACCCAGGAGAATTCCCAGAAAATCCTTGGGAGCATCCAAGGAAATCTTGGAGCACCTCAAGATCTTGGGATTGGAGCAGGATGGGATCAAATCTCCACCAATCCCACCTGAACCATTCCAGAACTTTGGCATTCGATGGGAATGGAAGCAAAATCCAGGAGAATTCCTAGAAAATCTTTGGGAATGCCCAAGGAAATCTTGGAGCACCTCAAGACCTTGGGATTGGGATTGGGATCAAAGTTCCACCAACCCCAGCCGAACCATTCGGGAACTCCAGGATTCCATGGGAATACGAAGCCAAATCCCAGAAAAATCTTTGGGAATGGCCAAGAAAATCTTGGAGCACCTCAAGATCTTGGGATTGGGGCAGGATGGGATCGAATCTCCTCAAATCCCACCCGAACCATTCCGGAACTTTGGTATTCAATGGGAATGGGAAACAAAATCCTGCAGAATTCCTAGAAAATCTTTGGGAATGCCCAAGGAAATCTTGGGAGCACCTCAAGATCTTGGGATTGGGATGGGATGCAAATCTCCACCAATCCCACCCAAACCATTCTGGATCTCCAGGATTCCATGGGAATGGGAAGCAAAATCCCAGAAAATCTTTGGGAATGTCCATGGAAATCTTGGAGCACCTCAGGATCTTGGGATTGGATTGGGATGGGATCAAATCTCCACCAACCCCAGCCGAACCATTCGGGAACTCCAGGATTCCATGGGAATGAGAAGCCAAAGCCAGGAGAATTCCTAGGGAACCTTTGGGAATGCCCAAGGAAATCTTGGGAGCACCTCAAGATCTTGGGATTGGGATGGGACCAAATCTCCACCAATCCCACCCAAACCACTCTGGATCTCCAGGATTCCATGGGAATGGGAACCAAAATCCAGGAGAATTCCCAGAAAATCTTTGGGAGCGCCCAAGGAAATCTTGGGAGCACCTCAAGATCTTGGGATTGGGGCAGGATGGGATCAAATCTCCACAAATCCCACCCAAACCATTCCAGAACTTTGGCATTCAATGGGAAACAAAATCCTGCAGAATTCCTAGAAAATCTTTGGGAATGTCCATGGAAATCTTGGAATTATGAGACTGGAATGGAGTGGGATCAAATCTCCACCAATCCCACCCAAACCATTCTGGAACTCCAGGATTCCATGGGAATGGGAACCAAAATCCCAGAAAATCTTTGGGAATGCCCAAGGAAATCTTGGAGCACCTCAAGATCTTGGGATTGGGAATTATGGGATTGGAGCGGGATGGGACCGAATCTCCACCAATCCCACCCAAACCATTCCAGAACTTTGGCATTCAATGGGAATACGAAGCCAAATCCCAGAAAATCTTTGGGAGCAACCAAGGAAATCTTGGAGCACCTCAAGACCTTGGGATTGGGGCAGGATGGGATCAAATCTCCACCAATCCCACCCAAACCATTCTGGAACTTTGGCATTCCATGGGAATGGGAAGCAAAATCCAGGAGAATTCCTAGAAAATCTTTGGGAATGCCCAAGCACATCTTGGGAGCACCTCAAGATCTTGGGATTGGGGCAGGATGGGATCAAAGCTCCACCAATCCCACCCAAACCATTCCGGAACTTTGGCATTCCATGGGAAGACAAATCCAGGAGAATTCCCAGAAAATCCTTGGGAGCATCCAAGGAAATCTGGGAGCACCTCAAGACCTTGGGATTGGAGCAGGATGGGATTGAAGCTCCACCAATCCCACCCGAACCATTCCAGAACTCTGGCATTCCATGGGAAGACACATCCAGGAGAATTCCCAGAAAATCCCTGGGAGCATCCAAGGAAATCTTGGAGCACCTCAAGATCTTGGGATTGGGAATGATGGGATTGGAGCAGGATGGGACCGAATCTCCACCAATCCCACCCAAACCATTCGGGATCTCCAGGATTCCATGGGAATGAGAAGCCAAACCCAGGAGAATTCCCAGAAAATCTTTGGGAATGTCCAAGGAAATCTTGGAATTGTGGGATTGGAGCAGGATGGGATCGAAGATTATGAACTCCACCCAAACCATTCTGGATCTCCAGGATTCCATGGGGAACAGAAAGCAAAATCCAAGAGAATTCCCAGAAAATCTTTGGGAGCGCCCAAGGAAATCTTGGAGAACCTCAAGACCTTGGGATTGGAGCGGGATGGGACCAAATCTCCACCAATCCCACCCGAACCATTCTGGATCTCCAGGATTCCGTGGGAATACGAAGCCAAATCCCAGAAAATCTTTGGGAGCGCCCAAGGAAATCTTGGAGAACCTCAAGACCTTGGGATTGGGGCAGGATGGGATCGAATCTCCACCAATCCCACCCAAACCATTCCAGAACTTTGGCATTCCATGGGAATACGAAGCCAAATCCCGGAAAATCTTTGGGAATGCCCAAGGAAATCTTGGAGCACCTCAGGATCTTGGGATTGGGGCAGGATGGGATCAAATCTCCACCAATCCCACCCGAACCATTCTGGATCTCCAGGATTCCATGGGAATACGAAGCCAAATCCCAGAAAATCTTTGGGAATGCCCAAGGAAATCTTGGAGCACCTCAAGATCTCGGGATTGGGAATGATGGGATTGGAGCAGGATGGGACAGAATCTCCACCAATCCCACCCAAACCATTCCGGATCTCCAGGATTCCATGGGAATGGGACGTTAAACCCGGGAGAATTCCTAGAAAATCCTTGGGAACATCCAAGGAAATCTGGGAGCACCTCAAGATCTTGGGATTGGGGCAGGATGGGATCAAAGCTCCACCAATCCCACCCAAACCATTCGGGAACTCCAGGATTCCATGGGAATGAGAAGCCAAACCCAGGAGAATTCCTAGAGAACCTTTGGGAATGCCCAAGGAAATCTTGGAGCACCTCAAGATCATGGGATTAGGATTGGGATGGGATCAAATCTCCACCAATCCCAGCCAAACCATTCCGGAACTCTGGAATTCAATGGGAAGACAAATCCAGGAGAATTCCCAGAAAATCTTTAGGAACGTCTAAGGAAATCTTGGAGCACCTCAAAATCTTGGGATTGGGAATGATGGGATCGGAGCGGGATGGGACCGAATCTCCACCAATCCCACCCGAACCATTCCGGATCTCCAGGATTCCATGGGAACAGGAATCCCAATCCCGGCCATTCCCCCCCGACGAGGATCTGGCTTCTCCCCACCCACCTGTCCCGGCGCCTCCATCTTGACCTCCTCCCCGGCTGGAATTTTGGGAATGGCGTTTGCCGGCGCCGGACACGTCTCGGCAGGGCCGGCGGCCTCTCCCTTCTCCACCTTGACCTTGACGTCGTCCAGGCTGAGCCCCGGCTGCGCCGGCTCCTTCTCGTCCTTGTCCAGCAGGTACCGCAGCAGCTGGTGATCCTTGCCCTCCTTCTTCTTCTCCGCCTCCGCCATCCCGGCATTCCCGGCGCCGCAATTCCCGCCGGGATTCTCCTTCTTGTCCTGCTCGGCGGCGCTGGTGATGTCGGAGGGGCTGCCCTCCTGCAGCAGCCGGTGCAGGATTTTGTGGCGCTCCGTCAGCGAGCTGTGCGAGGACGGGCAGGACGGAGCGGCCGGGATGGGATTCCCGGGAATGCCGGCGCACGCCAGGGAATCCTTGGAGCTGGTGTCGGCGTCGGCGTGGTGCCGCAGCTGCTGCTCGGCCGTGCTGGCCAGCAGCTGCACCAGCCGGTGGCTCGTGCCCTGCGGACACTTCCCGGCGCCGCCGCCGCCGTCGGCCTCGGATGCGTGCGGAATTCTCGGCTCCGAGGTTTTGTCGGCTGCGTTGTTTTCTTGGATCATCTCGCCGAGGATGGAAGAGATCTCCTTGGCGTCCTTGGCGTCGGATTTGCCGCCGACGCGGCCGGGGGAGTTTTGGGAGCTTGGCTGCCTCAAAAAGGCCGGATTGGCCGGAGGCTCCGGAAGCGCCGAGTTGACGGGAGCGTTGGGAAAAGGCCGGGAATTCCCCGAGGATGAGGATGAGGATGATGAGGATGAGGAGGATGAGGAGGAAGCTGGGGAGTGCATGGATGGCGAGAAGGGAGCTCGGGATCTGGGGATCAAGCCGGGACTCCCGCGGTGCCGCGGCGACAGGAATTGCGGGGCCGGAATTCCGGGGCTGTTCATGGGGGAGCTGCCGTGGGACAAAGGGTGGGAATTCCCGGCCGTTTGGCTTAAGGCAACGTTGGATCCCAGAGGATTCCCGAAATTCCCTTGGCCCGAGGCGGAATTGCCGGGATGAGGGGAGGGCGCGGCCATGACGGAGCCGTTGGACGGAGGGAGGGAAGGCGGCAGCGCCATTCCCGGCGCCGGAGGAACGTTGGGATTCACCCTGGCAAGGGCCAGGCCTGCAGCGGGGGGCGTCCTGGGGGGAGAGAATTCCGTGATCCCTGGGGGGGCAAAAAAACATGGGAAGAAAAATCAGGGTTTTCCCCGGGTTTTGGTGTTCCCCAAAGCACTTCCGGCAGCGGGAATTCCAAAAATTCCCTGCGTGGAATTCCGGCCGCTCCGAGGTTTTCTCAGGGTTTTGGAATTTCCAGATCCTGCTCCGAGAACAGCAAGAATTCCAAAAAATTCCCTGCTTGGAATTCCGGCCGCTCCGAGGTTTTCTCAGAGTTTTGGAATTCCCAGATCCTGCGGGAATTCCAAAAAATTCCCTGCTCGGAATTCCGGCCGCTCCGAGGTTTTCTCAGGGTTTTGGAATTTCCAGATCCTGCTCCGAGAACAGCAAGAATTCCAAAAAATTCCCTGCTTGGAATTCCGGCCGCTCCAAGGTTTTCTCAGGGTTTGGAATTCCCAAATCCTGCTCTGAGAACAGCAAGAATTCCAAAAAATTCCCTGCTTGGAATTCCGGCCGCTCCGAGGTTTTCTCAGGGTTTTGGAATTCCCAAATCCTGTTCCGAGAACAGCAAGAATTCCAGAAAATTCCCTGCTTGGAATTCCGGCTGCTCCGAGGTTTTCTCAGGGTTTTGGAATTCCCAAATCCTGCTCTGAGAACAGCAAGAATTCCAAAAATTCCCTGCTTGGAATTCCGGCCGCTCCGAGGTTTTCTCAGGGTTTGGAATTCCCAGATCCTGTTCCAAGAACAGCAAGAATTCCAAAAATTCCCTGCTTGGAATTCCGGCCGCTCCGAGGTTTTCTCAGGGTTTTGGAATTTCCAGATCCTGCTCCGAGAACAGCAAGAATTCCAAAAAATTCCCTGCTTGGAATTCCGGCCGCTCCAAGGTTTTCTCAGGGTTTTGGAATTCCCAGATCCTGCGGGAATTCCAAAAAATTCCCTGCTTGGAATTCCGGCCGCTCCAAGGTTTTCTCAGGGTTTTGGAATTTCCAGATCCTGCTCCGAGAACAGAAAGAATTCCAAAAAATTCCCTGCTTGGAATTCCGGCCGCTCCAAGGTTTTCTCAGGGTTTTGGAATTTCCAGATCCTGCTCCGAGAACAGAAAGAATTCCAAAAAATTCCCTGCTTGGAATTCCGGCCGCTCCAAGGTTTTCTCAGGGTTTGGAATTCCCAAATCCTATTCCGAGAACAGCAAGAATTCCAAAAAATTCCCTGCTTGGAATTCCGGCCGCTCCGAGGTTTTCTCAGGGTTTTGGAATTTCCAGATCCTGTTCCGAGAACAGCAAGAATTCCAAAAAATTCCCTGCTTGGAATTCCGGCCGCTCCGAGGTTTTCTCAGGGTTTGGAATTCCCAGATCCTGCTCTGAGAAGAGCAAGAATTCCAAAAAATTCCCTGCTTGGAATTCCGGCCGCTCCGAGGTTTTCTCAGGGTTTGGAATTCCCAGATCCAATGTTCCAAGAACAGCAAGAATTCCAAAAAATTCCCTGCTTGGAATTCCGGCCGCTCCGAGGTTTTCTCAGGGTTTGGAATTCCCAGATCCTGCTCTGAGAACAGCAAGAACTCCAAAAATTCCCTGCTTGGAATTCCGGCCGCTCCGAGGTTTTCTCAGGGTTTTGGAATTCCCAAATCCTGCTCCGAGAACAGCAAGAATTCCAAAAAATTCCCTGCTTGGAATTCCGGCCGCTCCGAGGTTTTCTCAGGGTTTGGGATTCCCAAATCCTGCTCTGAGAACAGGAAGAATTCCAAAAAATTCCCTGCTTGGAATTCCGGCCGCTCCGAGGTTTTCTCAGGGTTTGGGATTCCCAAATCCTGCTCCGAGAAGAGCAAGAATTCCAAAAATTCCCTGCTTGGAATTCTGGCTGCTCCGAGGTTTTCTCAGGGTTTTGGAATTTCCAGATCCTGCAGGAATTCCAAAAAATTCCCTGCTTGGAATTCCGGCCGCTCCGAGGTTTTCTCAGGGTTTTGGAATTCCCAAATCCTGCTCCGAGAACAGCAAGAATTCCAAAAATTCTCTGCTCGGAATTCCGGCTGCTCCAAGGTTTTCTCAGGGTTTTGGAATTTCCAGATCCAATGTTCCAAGAACAGCAAGAATTCCAAAAAATTCCCTGCTTGGAATTCCGGCTGCTCCAAGGTTTTCTCAGGGTTTTGGAATTTCCAGATCCTGCTCCGAGAACAGCAAGAATTCCAAAAAATTCCCTGCTTGGAATTCCGGCCGCTCCGAGGTTTTCTCAGGGTGTTGGAATTCCCAAATCCTGCTCGGAGAACAGCAAGAATTCCAAAAAATTCCCTGCTTGGAATTCCGGCCGCTCCAAGGTTTTCTCAGGGTTTTGGAATTTCCAGATCCTGCTCCGAGAACAGCAAGAATTCCAAAAAATTCTCTGCTCGGAATTCCAGCCGCTCCGAGGTTTTCTCAGGGTTTGGGATTCCCAAATCCTGTTCCGAGAACAGCAAGAATTCCAAAAAATTCCCTGCTTGGAATTCCGGCCGCTCCGAGGTTTTCTCAGGGTTTGGAATTCCCAGATCCTGCAGGAATTCCAAAAAATTCCCTGCTTGGAATTCCGGCCGCTCGGGGTTTTCTCAGGGTTTGGAATTCCCAAATCCTGTTCCAAGAACAGCACAAATTCCAAAAAATTCCCTGCTCGGAATTCCGGCCGCTCCGAGGCTTTCTCAGGGTTTGGAATTCCCAAATCCTGCTCCGAGACCAGCAAGAATTCCAAAAATTCCCTGCTTGGAATTCCGGCCGCTCCGAGGTTTTCTCAGGGTTTGGAATTCCCAAAATCTGCTCCGAGAACAGCAAGAATTCCAAAAAATTCCCTGCTTGGAATTCCGGCTGCTCCGAGGTTTCATCAGGGTTTTGGAATTCCCAGATCCTGCTCTGAGAACAGCAAGAATTCCAAAAAATTCCCTGCTTGGAATTCCGGCTGCTCCGAGGTTTTCTCAGGGTTTTGGAATTCCCAGATCCTGCTCCGAGAACAGCAAGAATTCCAAAAAATTCCCTGCTTGGAATTCCGGCCGCTCCAAGGTTTTCTCAGGGTTTTGGAATTTCCAGATCCTGCTCTGAGAACAGCAAGAATTCCAAAAAATTCCCTGCTTGGAATTCCGGCTGCTCCGAGGTTTCATCAGGGTTTTGGAATTCCCAGATTCTGCTCTGAGAACAGCAAGAATTCCAAAAATTCCCTGCTTGGAATTCCGGCCGCTCCGAGGTTTTCTCAGAGTTTTGGAATTCCCAAATCCTGTTCCGAGAACAGCACGAATTCCAAAAAATTCCCTGCTTGGAATTCTGGCCGCTCCGAGGTTTTCTCAGGGTTTGGGATTCCCAAATCCTGCTCTGAGAAGAGCAAGAATTCCAAAAAATTCCCTGCTTGGAATTCCGGCCGCTCCGAGGTTTTCTCAGGGTTTGGAATTCCCAAAATCTGCTCTGAGAAGAGCAGAGATCCCAAAAATTCTCTGCTCGGAATTCCGGCTGCTCCTGACCCTTTTTCCCGGTCTGGAGTTCCCAGATCAGCATTCCCATCATCCCAGCCCGGTCATGCTGGGAAAAGTCCCATTTTCCCAAATTTTTGGAGTTGTTCCAGGATTTCCTGGACCCATCCCAGCAGCTCCAGAGGATCATTTTTCTTGGGAATTCTGACAGAAATCCTTGGGAGGGGAAGGTCTCAATTCCAATTCCAATCCCAAACCTAATTCCAATCCCAATCCCAATCCTAATTCAAATTCCAATCCCAATCCTAAACCTAATCCTAATTCCAATCCCAATCCCAGTCCCAATCCCAAAACCAATCCCAATTCCAGTCCCAGTCCCAATCCCTATCCCAAAACCAATCCCAATCCAATCCCAATTCCAGTCCCAGTCCCAATCCCAATCCAATCCCAATTCCAGTCCCAATCCTAAATCCTAATCCCAATTCCAGTCCCAATCCCAATCCCTATCCCAAAACCAATCCCAATCCAATCCCAATTCCAGTCCCAGTCCCAATCCCAAAACCAATCCCAATTCCAGTCCCAATCCTAATCCTAATCCCAATTCCAGTCGCAATCCCAATCCCTATCCCAAAACCAATCCCAATCCAAACTCCAATCCCAACCCCAACCCCAATCCAGCCCTGAGGACCCAGGGAATGCCCGGATGAGGTCGAGGCCAAATTTACAGGAAAAATTCCTCACCCAGAGTTTGAAAACCCCTTGAAAAATTTTTCCTTAGGAGACACCGAAAATTCCCAAAACCTCCAGAATTCCAAGAAAAACTCAAAAGAGGGGGGAAAAAAGAAGGGGAAAAAACCCAAAAAGCTGGAAAAACCCAGGGCGGGATCAGCGCCCGAAGCTCCACCCCTGCCTCATCTGGGTGATTCCCGGCACCGATCCCAGCCGGAATTGTGAGGAATTCCATGGAATTCCGAGGGATTTGATGGAAATTCCATGGAATTCCGAGGGATTTGATGGAATTCCGTACCTCTCGATGACGTGGATGCCCATGATGAAGGGCTGCAGCTCCGGGCTCGAGGGGGTAGCAGAGCTTGCACTTGGTGTGGGCACTCAGCACGGAGCCGTCGCTCAGCGTGAAGCGGTACGAGGGGCTGAAGGCCGTGCCCCGTGTCATCACTGAGGGGAAACACACAGAATTCCAGGGAAAAAGATGGGAAAATCACGGAAAATCCCAAGAAAATCCTGAGAAGATCCTAAAAATCGTGTCAGGGGAAAAGGGGAAGTCAGCACGGAGCTGGAGCTCAGCGTAAAGGGGACAAGGGCCGGAGGGCCCTGCTGGGGTCATCACTGAGGGGAAAAAACACTGAATTCCAAGGAAATCCTGGGAAAACACTGAGAAAATCCAAAACAATCCTGAAAAAAATCCCAAAACCACCAATTCAATTCTGATTTCTGATCCCAAATCTGAATTCTGATCCCAAAAGCCACAACAGGGCCCAGGAAGGATCAGCACAGAGCCCTCACTCAGCGTGAGGGGGATGAGGGGCTCAAGGCTGTGCCAGGGTCATCACTGAGGGAAAAAACATGGAATTCCAAGAAAATCTTGGGAAAAAAATGAGAAAATCAAAAAAAAAATCCAGATCCAGTCCCAAAACCCCCAATTCAATGGAATTCTGATGCCAAAAACCTCAACAGGGCCCAGGCAGGATCAGCACGGAGCCATCGCTCAGAGTGAAGCTGTACGAGGGGCTGAAGGCCATGCCCCGCGTCATCACTGAGGAGAAACACACAGAATTCCAGGGAAAAAGATGGGAAAATCACGGAAAATCCCGAGAAAATCCTGAGAAGATCCTAAAAATCATGTTAGAGGAAAAGGGGAAGTCAGCACGGAGCCGGCGCTAAGCGTGAAGGGGACAAGGGCCTGAGGGCCATGCTGGGGTTATCACTGAGGGGAAAAACATGGAATTCCAAGAAAATCTTGGGAAAACAATCAGAAAATCCCAAGAAAATCCAGATCCAGTCCCAAAACCCTCAATTCAATTCCAATTTGATCCTAAAAACCCCAGTAGGACCCAGGCAGGATCAGCACAGAGCCGGCTCTCAGTCTGAAGGGGACGAGCAGCTGAGGGCCCTGCCAGGGCCCTGCCCCATCACTGAGGGGAAAAACACTGAATTCTGGGAAAATCCTGGGAAAAATCCTGAGAAAATCCAAAAAAAATCCCAATCTAATCTCAGAAACCCCAATCTAATTCAATTTGATCCCAAAAACCTCAACAGGGCCAAGGCAGGATCAGCGTGGAGCCATCGCTCAGTGTGAAGGGGACCAGGGGCTTGAAGGCCGTGCCGGGGTCATCACTGAGGGGAAAAACACTGAATTCCAGGAAAATCCTGGGAAAAATCCCAAGAACATCCTGGGAAAATCCCAATCTCATCCCAAAAATCCCAATTCAAGGGAAATCAATCCCAAAAATGCCAACAGGGCATAGGGAGGATCAGCATGGAGCCATCGCTCAGTGTGAGGGGGATGAGCGGCTCCAGGCTTTGCCAGGGTCATCACTGAGGGGAAACACACAGAATTCCAGGGAAAAATATGGGAAAATCACGGAAAATCTCGAGAAAATCCTGAGAAAATCCTAAAAATCGTGTCAGGGGAAAAGGGAAAGTCAGCACGGAGCTGGCGCTAAGCGTGAAGGGGACAAGAGCCGGAGGGCCCTGCTGGGGTCATCACTGAGGGGAAAAACACTGAATTCCAAGGAAATCCTGGGAAAACATTGAGAAAATCCCAAAAAAATCCAGATCCAGTCCCAAAAGCCCCAATTCAATTCCAATTTGATCCCAAAAACCCCAGTAGGGCCCAGGAAGGATCAGCACAGAGCCGGCTCTCAGTCTGAAGGGGACGAGCAGCTGAGGGCCCTGCAAGGGCCCTGTCCCATCACTGAGGGGAAAAACACTGAATTCCAAGGAAATCCTGGGAAAACACTGAGAAAATCCAAAACAATCCTGAAAAAAATCCCAAAACCACCAATTCAATTCTGATTTCTGATCCCAAATCTGAATTCTGATCCCAAAAGCCACAACAGGGCCCAGGAAGGATCAGCACAGAGCCCTCACTCAGCGTGAGGGGGATGAGGGGCTCAAGGCTGTGCCAGGGTCATCACTGAGGGGAAAAACATGGAATTCCAAGAAAATCTTGGGAAAACAATCAGAAAATCCCAAAAAAATCCAGATCCAGCCCAAAAGCCCCAATTCAATTCCAATTTGATCCCAAAACCCCAGTAGGGCCCAGGAAGGATCAGCACAGAGCCGGCTCTCAGTCTGAAGGGGACGAGCAGCTGAGGGCCCTGTCAGGGCCCTGCCCCATCACTGAGGGGAAAAACACTGAATTCCAGGAAAATCCTGGGAAAAATCCTGAGAACATCCTGAGAAAATCCCAATCTCATCCCAAAAATCCCAATTCAAGGGAAATCAATCCCAAAAATGCCAACAGGGCATAGGGAGGATCAGCACGGAGCCGTCGCTCAGTGTGAAGCGGTACGAGGGGCTGAAGGCCGTGCCCTGCGTCATCACTGAGGGGAAACACACAGAATTCCAAGGAAAAATATGGGAAAATCACGGAAAATCTCTAGAAAATCCTGAGAAGATCCTAAAAATCATGTTAGAGGAAAAGGGAAAGTCAGCACGGAGCCGGCGCTAAGCGTGAAGGGGACAAGGGCCTGAGGGCCATGCTGGGGTTATCACTGAGGGGAAAAACTCTGAATTCCAAGGAAATCCTGGGAAAACACGGAGAAAATCCAAAAAAATCCTGAAAAAAGTCCCAAAAAACCCCAATTCAATGGAATTCTGATCCCAAATCTGAATTCTGATCCCAAAACCACAACAGGGCCAGGGACAATCAGCACAGAGCCCTCACTCAGCGTGAGGGGGATGAGGGGCTCAAGGCCTCAAGGCTGTGCCAGGGACATCAAAGAGGGGAAAAACAGGGAATTCCAAGAAAATCTTGGGAAAACAATGAGAAAATCAAAAAAAATCCAGATGCAGTCCCAAAAGCCCCAATTCAATTCCAATTTGATCCTAAAACCCCAGTAGGGCCCAGGCAGGATCAGCACAGAGCCGGCTCTCAGTCTGAAGGGGACGAGCGGCTGAGGGCCCTGCAAGGGCCCTGCCCCATCACTGAGGGGAAAAACACTGAATTCTGGGAAAATCCTGGGAAAAATCCTGAGAAAAACAAAAAAAAAAATCCCAATCTAATCTCAGAAACCCCAATCCAATTCAATTTGATCCCAAAAACCTCAACAGGGCCCAGGCAGGATCAGCGTGGAGCCATCGCTCAGTGTGAAGGGCACGAGGGGCTTGAAGGCCGTGCTGGGGACATGACTGAGGGGAAAAACACTGAATTCCAGGAAAATCTGGGGAAAAATCCCAAGAACATCCTGAGAAAAACCCAATCTAATCCCAAAAACCCCAATTCAAGGGAAATCAATCCCAAAAATGCCAACAGGGCATAGGGAGGATCAGCATGGAGCCGTCGCTCAGTGTGAAGCGGTACGAGGGGCTGAAGGCCGTGCCCCGCGTCATCACTGAGGAGAAACACACAGAATTCCAAGGAAAAATATGGGAAAATCACGGAAAATCTCTAGAAAATCCTGAGAAGATCCTAAAAAATCATGTTAGAGGAAAAGGGGAAGTCAGCACGGAGCTGGAGCTCAGCGTAAAGGGGACGACGGATGAGGGCCCTGCTGGGGTTATCACTGAGGGGAAAAAGGCTGAATTCCAAGGAAATCCTGGGAAAACATTGAGAAAATCCAAAAAAATCCTGAAAAAAATCCCAAAAACCCCCAGTTCAATGGAATTCTGATCCCAAATCTGAATTCTGATCCCAAAAGCCACAATAGGGCCCAGGGACGATCAGCACAGAGCCCTTGCTCAGCATGAGGGGGATGAGGGGCTCAAGGCTGTGCCAGGGTCATCACTGAGGGGAAAAACATGGAATTCCAAGAAAATCTTGGGAAAACAATGAGAAAACCCCCAAAAAATCCTGAAAAAAATCCCAAAACCCCCAATTCAATGGAATTCTGATGCCAAAAACCTCAACAGGGCCCAGGAAGGATCAGCATGGAGCCATCGCTCAGTGTGAAGGGGACAAGGGGCTTGAAGGCCATGCCAGAGTCATCACTAAGGGAAAAAACCACAGAATTCCAAGAAAAAACATGGAAAATCCTGGAAAACCCTGAGAAAATCCTGAGAAAATCCTAAAAATCATGACAGGGCAAAGGAAGTGTCAGCTCAGAAATGACGCTCAGCGTAAAGGGGATGAGGACTGAAGGTGGTGTTGGGATCATCCCTGAGGGGAAAAACATGGAATTCCAGGAAAATCCCAAGAAAATTCTGAGAAAATCCCAACCTAATCCCAAAATCCCGAATCCAATGGAAAACTAATCCTAAAAACCCCAATAGGGCACAGGCAGGATCAGCACGGAGCCGTCACTCAGCGTGAAGGGGACGAGGGCCTGAGGGGTCATCACTGAGGGAAAAACCTCTGAATTTCAGGGAAAAACTTGGAAAAATTCTGAGAAAATCCTGAGAAAATCCCAAAATCCCAAAAATCCACAATTCAATGGAAAGCTAATCCCAAAAACCCCAATAGGGCACAGGCAGGATCAGCACGGAGCCGTCACTCAGCATGAAGGGGACAAGGGCCTGAGGGCCGTGCTGGGGTCATAACTGAGGGAAAAAACACTGAATTCCAGGGAAATACTCGGAAAAATTCTGAGAAAATCCTGAGAAAATCCCAAAATCCCAAAAATCCACAATTCAATGGAAAGCTAATCCCAAAAACCCCAATAGGGCACAGGCAGGATCAGCACGGAGCCGTCACTCAGCATGAAGGGGACAAGGGCCTGAGGGCCGTGCTGGGGTCATAACTGAGGGAAAAAACACTGAATTCCAGGGAAATACTCGGAAAAATTCTGAGAAAATCCCAATCTAATCCCAAAATCCTGAATCCAATGGAAAGCTAATCCCAAAAACCCCAATAGGGCACAGGCAGGATCAGCACGGAGCCGTCACTCAGCGTGAAGGGGACAAGGGACTGAGGGAAAAACCTCTGAATTCCAGGGGAAAACTTGGAAAAATTCTGAGAAAATTCTCAAAAAATCCCAATCTAATCCCAAAAATCCACAATTCAATGGAATCCCAATTCAATGGAAAGCTAATCCCAAAAACCCCAATAGGGCACAGGCAGGATCAGCATGGAGCCGTCACCCAGCATGAAGGGGACAAGGCCTGAGGGCCCTGCTGGGGTCATCACTGAGGGAAAAACCACTGAATTCCAGGGAAAAACTTGGAACAATTCTGAGAAAATCCTGAGAAAATCCCAAAATCCTGAATGCAATGGAAAGATAATCCCAAAAACCCCAATAGGGCACAGGGAGATCAGCACGGAGCCGTCACTCAGTGTGAATGGGACAAGGGCCTGAGGGCCGTGCTGGGGTTATCACTGAGGGAAAAAACACTGAATTCCAGGGAAAAACTTGGAACAATTCTGAGAAAATCCTGAGAAAATCCCAATCTAATCCCAAAATCCTGAATCCAATGGAAAGCTAATCCCAAAAACCCCAATAGGGCACAGGGAGGATCAGCACGGAGCCGTCACTCAGTGTGAAGGGGACGAGGGCCTGAGGGCCGTGCTGGGGTTATCACTGAGGGAAAAACCACTGAATTCCAGGGAAAAACTTGGAAAAACCCTGAGAAAATCCCAATCTAATCCCAAAATCCTGAATCCAATGGAAGCTAATCCCAAAAACCCCAAGAGGGCACAGGCAGGATCAGCACGGAGCCGTCACTCAGCGTGAAGGGGACAAAGGCCTGAGGGGTCATCACTGAGGGAAAAACCTCTGAATTCCAGGGAAAAACTTGGAACAATTCTGAGAAAATCCCAATCTAATCCCAAAATCCTGAATCCAATGGAAAGCTAATCCCAAAAACCCCAACAGGGCACAGGCAGGATCAGCACGGAGCCGTCACTCAGCGTGAAGGGGACGAGGGCCTGAGGGCCGTGCTGGGGTCATCACTGAGGGAAAAAACACTGAATTCCAGGGAAAAACTTGGAACAATTCTGAGAAAATCCTGAGAAAATCCCAATCTAATCCAAAATCCTGAATCCAATGGAAAGCTAATCCCAAAAACCCCAATAGGGCACAGGCAGGATCAGCACGGAGCCATCACCCAGCATGAAGGGGACGAGGGCCTGAGGGCTGTGCTGGGGTCATCACTGAGGGAAAAAACCCTGAATTCCAGAGGAAAACTTGGAAAAATTCTGAGAAAATCCCAATCTAATCCCAAAATCCTGAATCCAATGGAAAGCTAATCCCAAAAACCCCAATAGGGCACAGGCAGGATCAGCACGGAGCCGTCACTCAGCGTGAAGGGGACGAGGGCCTGAAGGCCGTGCTGGGGCCATCACTGAGGGAAAAACCACTGAATTCCAGGGAAAAACTTGGAAAAACCCTGAGAAAATCCTCAAAAAATCCCAATCTAATCCCAAAATCCTTAATCCAATGGAAAACTAAACCCAAAAACCCCAATAGGGCACAGGCATCATCAGCACGGAGCCGTCACTCAGCGTGAAGGGGACGAGGGCCTGAGGGCCATGCTGGGGTTATCACTGAGAGAAAAAACCTCTGAATTCCAGGGAAAAACTTGGAACAATTCTGAGAAATCCTCAGAAAATCCCAATCTAATCCCAAAATCCCGAATCCAATGGAAAGCTACTCCCAAAAACCCCAACAGGGCACAGGGAGGATCAGCACGGAGCCGTCACTCAGCATGAAGGGGACGAGGGCCTGGGGGGTCATCACTGAGGGAAAAACCTCTGAATTCCAGGAAAAACATGAAAAAATCCCACAAAAATCCCTCAACAACCCCAAAACCCCACCACCACCCACAAAAAACCATTCCACCACCACCACCTCCCAAAAAAACCCCCAAACCTTTCCGAAACAAAAAAACCCCACACGCCCACCCCGCCGCAACAACGCCGCCATTTTCTCCTCCTCTTCCCAACCCGCGGCGGGAACAAAAAAAACCCCAAAAAATCCGGGGATTTTTCCCAGTTTTTCCCAAGGAGAAGATTCCCGGGGCAAAGGCAGCGGGTACCTTCCTGAAAGAGCTGCTTGGCGTAGGAGGGCTCGCGGCCCTGGGGCTGGAAGAAGGCGTAGATGCATTTGCGGACCAGATCCTCCCAGCCCGTCCGGCCGGCGGCGCGCAGCGAGCTGGTGTCGATGGAGATGATTTTTCCTGGGAAAAAAGAAAAGGAGGATGTGTGTGGGGAGATTTGGGGGATTTGGGATGTTGGGAATGGTCTGAGGATGGTCGGAGGAGGTTGGGGGTGGTGGGGTGGGAATGGGATGGGATTGAAGGTCCATGGATCCCATCCCAACCATTCTGGGATTCTGGGCTCAAGGACACTCAGAATTCACCCCGAGGGATTTTTATGGAATTCAGGATGGAAAAGGGAAGGGAGATCCCCGAGATTCCCAGGGAATTCCCAAAATTCCTTCCTGGAGAGGAATCAGGATGGGGATGGATCCAACCCCAGGCTGGGAGAGCCGGGAATGGAGGGAATTCCCTGGGAAAGGGGAGGGATTAGGGAAGGAGTTCTGGAATTCCCAGAGAATCCCTGGGAGTGTCCAAGGAAAGGTTGGAAAATCCTGGGATCACGGGGATGGGAATGGGATGGGATTGAAGCTCCATGGATCCCATCCCAAACCATTCTGGGATTCTGGGATCCAGGACACTCAGGATCCATCCCCAGGGATTCTTATGGAATTCAGGGATGGAAAAGAGAAGGGAGGTCCCCGAGATTCCCAGGGAATTCCCAAAATTCCTTCCTGGTGAGGAATCGGGATGGGGATGGATCCAACCCCAGGCTGGGAGAGCCGGGAATGGAGGGAATTCCCTGGGAAAGTGGGAGGGATTTGGGAAGGAATTCCTGGCTGGGCTGGAATTCCCAGAGAATCCCTGGGAGTGTCCAAGGAAAGGCTGGAAAATCCTGGGATTGGGATTGGAATGGGATGGGATTTCAAGCTCCACAAATCCCACCCAAACCATTCCAGAATTCCACCACCACCCCCACCTCTCACTCCCACGGCCTCCGGAGCCCAGAATCCCGGGAATCCGGCCCGAATTCCCGGGAATGTTTGGGATGTACCTGTGGTGTCCTGCTTGGTGACGAAGGACTCGGCCGGGGCCGGGGCGGCCGGGCGCGGCAACCTCCGGGCGATGCAGATCAGACACGACTGGAAATCTGGGAAAAACACCGGGAAAAACACCGGGAATGCCGGAACCGCCCCGGGCCTGAGCTCAGACCTCGATCCTGGATCTCATCCCCTGCCCTGGAAGTGTTTTCCTGAGGAAATGGGACTGAATTCCCTGAAATTCCCTGGGAAAAGCTCGGGGGGGTTAAACGGGGAGGGGTTCTGGGATGTGGCGGAGCTGGGATAGTGAAAATTCCAGGGATTGTGGGGATTTGGTGCTAAAACACCAGGATTATTGGGAATCCTGCAGGAATTGTGGGATTCATCCTGGGAATGTGGTGGGAGAAGAGGGATGGGACAGGGAAAGGGGACCCGGAGTGGGAGAGTAACGAGGGAGCCGGCCCAATCCTGGGCCTGCATTCCCAGCCCATCTCATCCCAATCCCAATCCCAATCCCAATCCCAATCCCAATCCCCAGTCCCATCCCAGCCCATCCTGACTGAGCTCCATCCCAATCCCAATCCCAATCCCATCCCAATCCCAATCCCCAGTGCCATCCCAGCCCATCCTGACTGTGCTCCATCCCAATCCCAATCCCAATCCCAATCCCAATCCCAATCCCAATCCCAATCCCAAACCCATCCCAGCCCATCCTGACTGTGCTCCATCCCAATCCCAATCCCAATCCCCAATCCCAATCCCAGCCTATCCTGACTGTGCTCCATCCCAATCCCAATCCCAATCCCAATCCCATCCGATCTGAATCCCAGCCCATCCCGTCCAATCACAATCCTGCACAGCATTCCCATTCCCATTCCCAGTCCCAGTGCCAATCCCAATCCCAATCCCAGTCCTTCTCCATCCCATCCCAAATCCAATCCTAATTTTGTTTTCCCATCCAAATCCCATCCTCAATCCTATCCCACCCCAATCCTGCATTCCCATCCCAATCTCCATCCCAATCCCGCATTCCAACCCAATCCAAATCCCAATCCATCTCATCCCATCCCACCCTAATTCTGCATTCCCATCCCAATCCTGCTCCATTCCATCCCATCCCAATCCTACTCTGCTTCATCCCATCCCAATCCTCCAATCCTATCCCAACTGTCCTGCACTGGCGTCCAACACCAACACCAACCCCATCCCAACCCCATCCTAATCCCAATCCCCTCCAAATCTCAATCCAATCCCAATCTCAATCCCATCCCAAATTCCCAATCCCAATATCCCAATCCCAAATCTCAAATCCCATATCCCAGATCCCAATCCCCAACCCCAATCCCCACCTTCCCCCTCCTCCTGGAAGGCGCGGGGCTGGCTGACGGTGAAGCACTGCATGGCCTCGTAACCCCCACCTCCAACCCCCATCCCAATCCCAAATCTCAAATCTCAAATCTCAAATCCCAAATCCCTAATCCCATATCCCAGATCCCAGATCCCAAATCCCCACCTTCCCCCTCCTCCTGGAAGGCGCGGGGCTGGCAGACACTGAAGCACTGCATGGCCTCAGAGCGCCCAGCTCCAACCCCAACCCCAATCCCAATCCCAGCTCAATCCCAACCCCAAATCCCAACTCCCAAATCCCCAATCCCCAATCCCAAATCTCATATCCCCAATCCCATATCCCAAATTCCCACCTTCTCCCTCCTCCTGGAAGGCGCGGGGCTGGCTGACGGTGAAGCACTGCATGGCCTCAGAGCGCTGCCCCAATCCCATCCCCCAATCCCATATCCCAGATCCCATATCCCAGATCCCATATCCCAGATCCCATATCCCATATCCCATATCCCAAATTCCAACTCCAAATCCCAAATCCCCACCTTCCCCCTCCTCCTGGAAGGCGCGGGGCTGGCTGACACTGAAGCACTGCATGGCCTCGTAGCGCTGCCCCAATCCCATATCCCAAATCCCATATCCCATATCCCATATCCCATATCCCATATCCCATATCCCTGATCCCCAATCCCAAATCCCCACCTTCCCCCTCCTCCTGGAAGGCGCGGGGCTGGCTGACGGTGAAGCACTGCATGGCCTCGTAGCGCTGCCCCAATCCCATATCCCATATCCCAAATCCCCAATCCCATATCCCATATCCCAAATCCCCAATCCCATATCCCAATCCCAATCCCACCTTCCCCCTCCTCCTGGAAGGCGCGGGGCTGGCTGACACTGAAGCACTGCATGGCCTTGTAGCGCTACCCCAATCCCATATCCCATATCCCATATCCCATATCCCATATCCCATATCCCATATCCCCAATCCCATATCCCATATCCCATATCCCATATCCCAATCCCACCTTCCCCCTCCTCCTGGAAGGCGCGGGGCTGGCTGACGCTGAAGCACTGCATGGCCTCGTAGCGCTGCCTCAATCCCATATCCCATATCCCATATCCCATATCCCAGATCCCCACCTTCCCCCTCCTCCTGAAGGCGCGGGGCTGGCTGATGGTGAAGCACTGCATGGCCTCGTAGCGCTGCCCAATCCCATATCCCATATCCCATATCCCATATCCCATATCCCAATCCCCCATATCCCAAATTCCCACCTTCCCCCTCCTCCTGGAAGGCGCGGGGCTGGCTGACGCTGAAGCACTGCATGGCCTCGTAACCCCCACCTCCAACCCCAATCCCAAATCTCAAATCTCAAATCCCAAATCCCATATCCCATATCCCATATCCCATATCCCAGATCCCAGATCCCAGATCCCAGATCCCAAATTCCACCTTCCCCCTCCTCCTGGAAGGCACGGGGCTGGCTGACGGTGAAGCACTGCATGGCCTCGTAGCGCTGCCCCAATCCTGATCTCATATCCCCAATCCCAAATCCCATATCCCATATCCCCAATCCAAATCCCAAATCCCAAATCCCCAATCCCAGATCCCAATCCCACCTTCCCCCTCCTCCTGGAAGGCGCGGGGCTGGCTGACGGTGAAGCACTGCATGGCTCGTAGCACTGCCCCAATCCCATATCCCATATCCCATATCCCATATCCCATATCCCATATCCCATATCCCATATCCCAAATCCCATATCCCAATCCCACCTTCCCCCTCCTCCTGGAAGGCGCGGGGCTGGCTGACAGTGAAGCACTGCATGGCCTCAGAGCGCTGCCCCAATCCCATATCCCATATCCCATATCCCATATCCCATATCCCCAATCCCATATCCCATATCCCATATCCCATATCCCATACCCCATATCCCATATCCCATATCCCATATCCCATATCCCAATCCCAGACCCCAATCCCAAATTCCCACCTTCCCCCTCCTCCTGGAAGGCGCGGGGCTGGCTGATGGTGAAGCACTGCATGGCCTCGTAGCGCTGCCCCAATCCCATCCTAGTCCCACCCCATTCCCAATGCCAATCCCCAATCCCCAATCCCCAATCCCTGATCCCAGATCCCATATCCCAAATCCCAAACCCCCAAATCCCAAATCCCCACCTTCCCCCTCCTCCTGGAAGGCGCGGGGCTGGCTGACGGTGAAGCACTGCATGGCCTCGTAGCGCTGCCCCAATCCTGATCCCATATCCCATATCCCAGATCCCAGATCCCAGATCCCAGATCCCAGATCCCAGATCCCAAATCCCCAATCCCAACTCCAAATTCCAGATCCCAAATTCCCAACTTCCCCCTCCTCCTGGAAGGCGCGGGGCTGGCTGACGGTGAAGCACTGCATGGCCTTGTAGTGCCCAATTCCAACCCCAATCCCAATCCCAATCCCAACTCCAGCTCAATCCCAACCCCAAATCCCAACTCCCAAATCCCCAATCACCGATCCCAATCCCCAATCCCCAATCCCCAATCCCATATCCCAAATCCCAACTCCATATCCCATATCCCATATCCCATATCCCCAATCCCAAATCCCAAATTCCCACCTTCTCCCTCCTCCTGGAAGGCGCGGGGCTGGCTGACGGTGAAGCACTGCATGGCCTCGTAGAAGGCGCGGGGCTGGCTGACGGTGAAGCACTGCATGGCCTCGTAGCGCTGCCCCAATCCCATATCCCATATCCCATATCCCATATCCCATATCCCATATCCCATATCCCATATCCCATATCCCAAATCCCCAATCCTAGATCCCCGATCCCATATCCCAAATCCCCAATCCCACCTTCCCCCTCCTCCTGGAAGGCGCGGGGCTGGCTGACGCTGAAGCACTGCATGGCCTCGTAACCCCCACCTCCAACCCCAATCCCAAATCTCAAATCTCAAATCCCAAATCCCATATCCCATATCCCATATCCCATATCCCAGATCCCAGATCCCAGATCCAGATCCAAATTCCCACTTCCCCCTCCTCCTGAAGGCGCGGGGCTGGCTGACGGTGAAGCACTGCATGGCCTCAGAGCGCTGCCCCAGTCCGTATCCCATATCCCATATCCCATATCCCCAATCCCATATCCCCAATCCCATATCCCATATCCCATATCCCATATCCCATATCCCAAACCCCCAAATCCCAAATTTCACCTTCCCCCTCCTCCTGGAAGGCGCGGGGCTGGCTGACGGTGAAGCACTGCATGGCCTCGTAGCGCTGCCTCAGCTCCGCCTGCTCCGCTCCCCGCCTCGTCGGGCGGCCGCACCAGCATCCGGCACTGGAAGGTGTGGCTGCCCCGCCGCGACGGCTCCTGCGGCCAGGGCACCCCGTTCACTGCGGGAAAACACCGGGAAAAACGGGAATTCGGCACGTGGGAATGAGCTGTGATCGTGGAATTCCCAAAGATCCCCGGGATCCGGGGCTCTGCGCCGGCACCCGGCACTGGAACCCGTGGCTGCCCCGCCGCGATGGCTCCTGCGGCCACGGCGCCCCGGTCACTGTGGGAAAACACCGGGAAAAACACCGGGAATTTGGGATGTGGGAATGAGGTGTGATCATGGAATTGTGGGATTCCCAAAGATCCTTGGGGATTGAAAGAGATGCTGGGAAGAATCCAGCCACAATCCCGAAAGATCGCTGGGATTTCAGGAGCACAAATCCAGGCAAAATTCCCAAAGATCCCTGGGATTTCAGGAGCACAAATCCAGCCAGAATTCCCAAAATCCCTGGGATTTCAGGAGCACCAATCCAGCCAGAATTCCCAAAGATCCCTGGGATTTCAGGAGCACAAATCCAGCCAGAATTCCCAAAATCCCTGGGATTTAAGGAACCAGGCTGGGAACAATCCACTCAAAATTCCCAAAGATCCCTGGGATTTTAGGAACCAGGGCTGGGAATAATCCAGCCAGAATTCCCAAAGATCCCTGGGATTTGAGGAGCACAATCCAGCCAGAATTCCCAAAGATCCCTGGGATTTCAGGAGCACAAATCCAGCCAAAATTCCCAAAGATCCCTGGGATTTCAGGAGCACCAATCCAGCCAGATTTCCCAAAGATCCCTGGGGTTTAAGGAACCAGGGCTGGGAACAATCCACTCAAAATTCCCAAAGATCCCTGGAATTTAAGGAACCAGGCTGGGAATAATCCACTCAAAATTCCCAAAGATCCCTGGGATTTAAGGAACCAGGGCTGGAAGAATCCACTCAAAATTCCCAAAGATCCTGGGATTTTAGGAACCAGGGCTGGGAATAATCCAGCAGAATTCCAAAGATCCCTGGGATTTGAGGAGCACAATCCAGCCAGAATTCCCAAAGATCCCTGGGATTTGAGGAAATGAAAGAAAAATTTAAAACTAATAGAGAAACAATAAATAAATAAAGCCAGAAATGAAAATAAAATCTAAATAATGAAGAAATAAGTAGAAGTAAAATAAAATCAAGGAAAATAAAAATAAAATTAATAAATAAATAATAAAGAAACAAAAAGGGAATACAAAACAAAAATGGAAAAATCTAAATAAGTACAAAAAGCAAGAAAAATTAAAAAGAAATAAAAATAAAAAAGGGAATTAAAAAGAAAAAATTTAATTAAAAATTTATAGAAAAATTTTAAAAACACAAAGAAAAATAAAATAGAAATAGAAATAAAATTAAAATTGAAATAAAAATAAAAAAAAAAAATAAAAATAAAAATAAAAATAAAAATAAAAAATAAAAATAACATAAAACTACAATAAAAATAAAAATCAATTAAAATAAAAATAAAGAAAAATTTAAATAGATTTTAAAAATTAACAACCCTCCTCCATCCCCACCCCCCAAACCCCCACCCTCTCTCCCCGCGTCCACTCCCAAATTTCCCCAGATTTTCCCAGATTTCCCCAGATTTTCCCGGATTTTCCCAGATTTTCCCCAGATTTTCCCAGGATTTCCCAAATTTTCCCAGATTTCCCCAGATTTTTCCAGATTTCCCCAAATTTCCCCAGATTTTCCCAGATTTTCCCCAGATTTCCCCAGGATTTCCCCAGGATTTCCCAAATTTCCCCTGGATTTTCCCAAATTTTCCCCAGATTTTCCCCAGATTTTCCCAAATTTCCCCAAATTTCCCCAAATTTCCCCAGATTTTCCCAAATTTCCCAGATTTTCCCAGATTTTCCCCAGGATTTCCCAGATTTCCCCAGATTTCCCAGATTTCCCCAGATTTCCCAGATTTCCCCAGATTTCCCAGATTTCCCAGATTTCCCAGATTTTCCCAGGATTTTCCCAATTTCCCCAGATTTTTCCCAGATTTCCCCAGATTTTCCCAGAATTTCCCAGGATTTCCCAGATTTCCCCAGATTTTCCCAGATTTCCCCAGAACTCCGAGATTTCCCAGGATTTCCCAAATTTCCCCAGATTTTCCCAGATTTCCCCAGATTTCCCCAGGATTTTCCCCAGATCTTCCCCAGATTTTCCCCAGATTTTCCCCGGATTTCCCCAGGATTTTCCCCAAATTTCCCCAGATTTCCCCAGAACTCCCAGATTTCCCCAGATTTCCCCAAATTTCCCCAGATTTCCCCAGAACTCCCAGATTTCCCCAGATTTCCCCAGGATTTCCCCAGATTTCCCCAGATTTTCCCAGGATTTCCCCAGAACTCCCAGATTTCCCCAGGATTTCCCCAGATTTTCCGAGATTTTCCCAAATTTCCCCAGATTTCCCCAGATTTCCCAGATTCCCAGATTTCCCAGATTTCCCCAAATTTCCCAGATTTCCCCAGATTTCCAAGATTTCCCCAGATTTTCCCCAGATTTCCCAGAACTCCAGATTTCCCCAGATTTTCCAGATTTCCCCAGATTTCCCCAAATTTCCCCAAATTTCCCCAGATTTCCCCAAATTTCCCAGATTTCCCAGATTTCCCAATTTCCCCAGATTTCCCAGATTTTCCAGATTTCCAGATTTTCCCAGATTTCCCCAGATTTCCCCCAAATTTCCCCAAATTTCCCCAGATTTTCCCAGGATTTTTTCCCAGATTCCCCAGATTTCCCCAGATTTCCCCAGATTTTCCCCAAATTTCCCCCAGATTTCCCCGGATTGTCCCCAGATTTCCCCAGGATTTTCCCAAATTTTCCCAGATTTTCCCAGATTTCCCCAGATTTTCGGATTTTCCCAGATTTCCCAGATTTTCCCAGATTTCCCAGATTTTCCCAGATTTCCCCAGGATTTCCCCACATTTCCCCACATTTCCCCAGATTTCCCCAGATTTCCCCAGATTTCCCCAGATTTTCCCAGATTTCCCCAGATTTTCCCAGATTTCCCCTGGATTTCCCCAGATTTTCCCAGATTTCCCCAGATTTCCCCAGATTTCCCCGGATTTCCCCAGATTTTCCCAGATTTCCCCAGATTTCCCCAGATTTCCCCAATTTCCCCAGATTTCCCCAGATTTTCCCAGATTCCAAGATTTTCCCAGATTTCCCCAGATTTCCCCAGATTTTCCCCAGATTTTCCCCAGATTTTCCCAAATTTCCCCAGATTTCCCCAGATTTCTCCAGATTTCCAGATTTCCCCAGATTTTCCCAGATTTTCCCAGATTTCCCCAGATTTTCCCAGATTTCCCCAGATTTCCCCAGGATTCCCCCAGATTTCCCCAGATTTCCCAGAACTCCAGATTTTCGCAGATTTTCCCGGATATCCCCAGATCTTCCCCAGATTTCCCCAGATTTCCCCAGGATTTTCCCAAATTTCCCCAGACTTCCCCAGATTTTCCCCAGATTTCCCGAGATTTCCCAGATTTCCCAGATTTCCCCAGATTTCCCCAGATTTCCCAGATTTCCCCAGATTTTCCCAGATTTTCCCCAGATTTTCCCAGAACTCCCAGATTTTCCCAGATTTCCCCAGATTTCCCCAGATTTTCCCAGGATTTCCCCAGTTTTCCCCAAATTTTCCCAGATTTCCCCTGGATTTTCCCCAAATTTCCCCAGATTTCCCCAGATTTTCCCAGATTTCCCCAGATTTCCCCAGATTTTCCCGGATTTTCCCGGCTTTCCGGTCTCTCCGCACCCAGGGATTTGGGGAGCAGGTTCTTGACGAACTCGGCGTGGTCGCCCACGTGCAGGATGCTGTAGACGCTGGAGTTCATCAGCCTCCTGCCCGTAGCCCAGGTACCCGGTCACGTTCTCCGACACGAACACGATCCGGCCCTCGCGGTTCACCACGAAGAAAAACCCGTCCAGGGCCTGGGGAGGGGAAAACGGGAAAAAATTCCAAGGTTTTATCCCAAATATCCTGAAAATGGGAAGGAATTCCAAGGTTTTATCCCAAATATCCCGGCACGTTCTCCAACACGAAGGCGATCGGCCCTCGCAGTTCACCACAAAGAAAAACCCACCCAGGGCCCGAGAGGGAAAAAATGGGAAAGAATTCCAAGGTTTTATCACAAATATCCTGAAAATGGGAAAAAAATCCAAGGTTTCATCACAAATAGCACAGAAACGGGAAAGAATTCCAAGGTTTTATCCCAAATATCTCAAAAACGGGAGAAAAATCCAAGGTTTTATCACAAATATCCTGAAAATGGGAAGAATTCTGAGGTTTTATCTCAAGTATCTCAAAAACAGGAAAAAATTCCAAGGTTTTATCACAAATATCCTGAAAATGGGAAAGAATTCCAAGGTTTTGTCCCAATATCCCATCACGTTTTCCGACACAAACACAACCCGGCCCTCACGGTTCACCATGAAGAAAAACCCGTCAGGGCCTGAGGAGGGAAAAACGGGAAAAAAATCCAAGGTTTTATCACAAATATCCTGAAAATGGGAAAGAATTCCGAGGTTTTATCTCAAGTATCTCAAAACAGGAAAAAATTCCAAGGTTTTCTCCCAATATCCCGGCACGTTCTCCGACATGAACGCGATCTGGCCTCATGGTTCACCATGAAGAAAAACCCATCCAGGGCCCGGAGAGGGAAAGAATTCCAAGGTTTTATCCCAAATATCCCGAAAACGGGAAAGAATTCCGAGGTTTTATCACAAATAGCACAAAAACAGGAAAGAATTCCAAGGTTTGGTCCCAATATCCTGGCACGTTCTCCGACACAAACACGATCCGGCCCTCACGGTTCACCACAAAGAAAAACCCATCCAGGGCCTGGGGAGGGAAAGAATTCAAGGTTTAATCGCAAATAGCACAAAAACAGGAAAGAATTCCAAGGTTTTGTCCCAATATCCCGTCACGTTCTCCGACACAAACGTGATCCAACCCTTCAAGTTTCACCACTAAGAAAAACCCATCCAGGGCCTGGAAGGCGGAAAAAATCCCAAGGTTTTATCCCAAATAGCACAGAAACGGGAAAGAATTCCAAGGTTTTATCTCAAGTATCTCAAAAACGGGAAAGAATTCCAAGGTTTTGTCCCCAGTATCCCGTCACGTTCTCCGACACAAACACGATCCAATCTTCATGGTTCACCACAAAGAAAAACCCATCCAGGGCCTGGAGAGGGGAAAAACGGGAAAAAATTCCGAGGTTTTATCACAAATATCCTGAAAATGGGAAAGAATTCCAAGGTTTTGTCCCAATATCCGGCACGTTCTCCGACACGAACGCGATCCGGCCCTCGCGGTTCACCACGAAGAAAAACCCAACCAGGGCCTGGAGAGGGAAAGAATTCCAAGGTTTTATCCCCAAATAGCACAAAAACGGGAAAGAATTCCAAGGTTTTATCACAAATAGCACAAAAATGGGAAAGAATTCCAAGGTTTTATCCCAATATCCCGTCACGTTCTCCGACATGAACACGATCCGGCCCTCATGGTTCACCACAAAGAAAATCCCATCCAGGGCCTGGAAGGGGGAAAAATCCCAAGGTTTTATCCCAAATAGCACAAAAATGGGAAAGAATTCTGAGGTTTTATCTCAAAACAGGAAAGAATTCCAAGGTTTTATCCCAAATATCCCATCACGTTCTCCGACACAAACACAACCCGGCCCTCGCAGTTCACCATGAAAAAAAACCATCCAAGGTCTGGGGAGGGAAAGAATCCCAAGGTTTTATCCCAAATATTCTGAAAATGGGGAAGAATTCTGAGGTTTTATCTCAAGTATCTCAAAAACAGGAAAAAATTCCAAGGTTTTATCACAAATAGCACAAAAACGGGAAAGAATTCCAGGTTTTGTCCCAATATCCCATCACGTTCTCTGACACAAACGTGATCCAACCCTTCAAGTTTCACCACTGACAAAAATCCATCCAGGGCCTGGAAGGGGGGACAAATCCCAAGGTTTTATCCCAAATATCCTGAAAATGGGGAAGAATTCCAAGGTTTTATCCCAAATAGCACAAAAATGGGAAAGAATTCCAAGGTTTTGTTCCCAATCTCCCGGCACGTTCTCTGACATGAACGCGATCCGGCCCTCACGGTTCACCATGAAGAAAAACCCATCCAGGGCCTGGGGAGGGAAAGAATTCCAAGGTTTTATCCCAAATATCCTGAAAATGGGAAAGAATTCCGAGGTTTTATCTCAAAACCGGGAAAGAATTCCAAGGTTTTGTCCCAAATCTCCCGTCACGTTCTCCGACATGAACACAACCCGGCCCTCGCGGTTCACCACAAAGAAAACCCACCCAGGGCCTGGAGAGGGGGGAAAAAACGGGAAAAAATTCGAGGTTTTATCACAAATAGCACGAAAATGGGAAAGAATTCCAAGGTTCTATCTCAAATAGCACAAAAATGGAACAAAATTCCAAGGTTTTGTCCCAATCTCCCGTCACGTTCTCCGACATGAACGCGATCCGCCCGTCACGGTTCACCATGAAAAAAAAACCCATCCAGGGCCTGGAAGGGGGAAAAATTCCAAGGTTTTATCCCAAATAGCACAAAAAACGGGAAAGAAATCCAAGGTTTTGTCCCAAATATCCTGAAAATGGGGAAGAATTCCGAGGTTTTATCTCAAATAGCACAAAACGGGAAAAAATTCCAAGGTTTTGTTCCCAATCTCCCGGCACGTTCTCCAACACGAACGCGATCCAGCCCTCATGGTTCACCACTGACAAAAATCCATCCAGGGCCTGGCAGGGGGAAAAATCCCAAGGTTTTATCCCAAATAGCACAAAAAATGGGGAAGAATTCTGAGGTTTTATCCCAAGTATCACAAAAATGAAACAAAATTCCAAGGTTTTGTCCCAATATCCCGCACGTTCTCCAATACAAACAGAACCCGCCCCCTCACGGTTCACCGTGAAGAAAAACCTGTCCAGGGACTGCGGAGGGGAAAAACGGGAAAAAATTCCAAGGTTTTATCACAAATATCCTGAAAATGGGAAGAATTCCGAGGTTTTATGTCAAGTATCTCAAAGACGGGAAAGAATTCCAAGGTTTTGTTCCCAATATCCCGGCACGTTCTCCGACACGAACGCGATCTGGCCCTCATGGTTCACCATGAAGAAAAACCCATCCAGGGCCCGGAGAGGAAAGAATTCCAAGGTTTTATCCCAAATAGCACAAAAAACGGGAAGGAATTCCAAGGTTTTGTTCCCAATATCCCGGCACGTTCTCCGACACAAACACAACCCGGCCCTCGCGGTTCACCGTGAAGAAAAATCCATCCAGGGCCTGGGGAGGGAAAAAACGGGAAAAAATCCCAAGGTTTTATCCCAAATATCCTGATAAATGGGAAAGAATTCCAAGGTTTTATCTCAAAAATGGGAAGGAATTCCAAGGTTTTGTCCCAATCTCCCGTCACGTTCTCCAACACGAACGCGATCCAACCCTCGCGGTTCACCACTAAGAAAAAACCATCCAGGGCCTGGAAGGGGAAAAATCCCAAGGTTTTATCCCAAATATCTCAAAAACGGGAAAAAAATCCAAGGTTTTATCACAAATATCCTGAAAATGGGGAAGAATTCCGAGGTTTTATCTCAAATAGCACAAAAACGGGAAAGAATTCCAAGGTTTTATCCCAAATATCCCATCACGTTCTCCGACACAAACACAACCCGGCCCTCGCGGTTCACCATGAAGAAAAACCCATCCAGGGCCTGGAGAGGGAAAAAACGGGAAAGAATTCCAAGGTTTTGTCCCAAATAGCACAAAAATGGAAGGAATTCCGAGGTTTTATCCCAAATAGCACAAAAACGGGAAGGAATTCCAAGGTTTTGTTCCCAATATCCCAGCACGTTCTCCGACACAAACGCAATCTGGCCCTCAGGGTTCACCACAAAGAAAAACCCCATCAGGGCCTGGAGAGGGGAAAAACGGGAAAAAATTCCGAGGTTTTATCACAAATATCCTGAAAATGGGAAAGAATTCCAAGGTTTTGTTCCCAATATCCGGCACGTTCTCCGACACAAACACAACCCGGCCCTCACGGTTCACCACGAAGAAAAAACCCATCCAGGGCCTGGAGAGGGAAAAATCCCAAGGTTTTATCCCAAATAGCAAAAAACGGGAAAGAATTCCAAGGTTTTATCACAAATATCACAAAAATGGAACAAAATTCCAAGGTTTTGTCCCCAATATCCCGTCACGTTCTCCGACACGAACGCGATCCAACCCTCGCGGTTCACCACAAGTAAAACCCAACCAGGGCCTGGGGAGGGAAAAAAACGGGAAAAAATTCCAAGGTTTTGTCCCAAATAGCACAGAAACGGGGAAAAATTCCAAGGTTTTATCACAACAGCACAAAAATGGAACAAAAATTCAAGGTTTTGTCCCAATCTCCGGCACGTTCTCCGACATGAACGCGATCCGCCCCTCATAGTTCACCATGAAAAAAAACCTGTCCAGGGCCTGGGGAGGGAAAAAATTCCAAGGTTTTATCCAAATAGCACAAAAACGGAAAGAATTCAAGGTTTTGTTCCCAATATCCCGTCACGTTCTCCGACACGAACACGATCCGGCCCTCACGGTTCACCACGAAGAAAAACCCGTCCAGGGCCTGGGGAGGGGAAAAATGGGAAAGAATTCCAAGGTTTTATCCCAAATATCCTGAAAATGGGAAAAAAATCCAAGGTTTTATCACAAATAGCACAAAAACGGGAAAGAATTCCAAGGTTTTATCTCAAATAGCACAAAAACGGGAAAGAATTCCAAGGTTTAATCACAAATAGCACAAAAACGGGAAAGAATTCCAAGGTTTTATCCCAAATATTCTGAAATTGGGAAAGAATTCTGAGGTTTTATCTCAAAAACGGGAAAGAATTCCAAGGTTTTATCCCAAATATCCCGGCACGTTCTCCGA